CGTCCAGTTTCCAGGCCTAAACTATGTTTCGCTTTGAATTGAGTGACAACTTGGATACAGATTGACCTTTAATCGACGATGGTTAAATTCCTGTAAAACTCTGACTCGTGCGAAAACCCATCACCGTGTTCAAGGGTATCCTAACCAAACTGAGAATTCCATGCATCCCACCTATACATGGAAATTCCAGAGATATTTGTTGGAATGGAATGCTCACTCTCTCCCTGGAGGGACATATCCTCCTTAGCTAATTCTGGAAAGTATTAGGGATCGGTTGGCTAAAGCTAGGGCTTGGGGATCCCAGAGCGTGCGTTGGGGTAATTGCTGGAGTCTAACCAGCTGAAACCAGAAAGCTTGCCATTGAGAGCACTGCCCAGCAAGCTTTCCAGTGGTACTGGGGGTTTAATTACTATTTTATTCACTTGCATTTTCTGATGATGATAGCCTATGAACCAGAAGCACCCAATTATCACAGAGCAGATCTTAATCACATTACCAAGTCTGCCAAATCTCTGGTATACAAGCAATTCAAAAGAGACATCATTACTGCTGTTGGAATAATTGAATACCTTCTGCACAATCTCCCAGTGAGGGAGAATCTCTGCAGTAATGAGGAGAGTGAAAAGGAGATGAAAGGAAAAGGATCAAGAGAAGGCAATGCCGTGTAATTTGAAGATGGTCTACACTAGGGGTGAATGGACTGGTATTATCAGAGAAGTACTGACCGAGATGTGCCACGTTTATATTCTTGATTTTGAATGTTCTTTCTCTGACACCAACTTTACCATCAAAATTCCTATCTACAGTTGTGCGCACATGTCTGATAACTGGGATAACTGAAGAACTCAGTCTGTATCCGTTAGCATTGACCCAGAAGAACAAGTGGCCTTGTTGAAACATTTTCTCAATTTGCAATACCCAGGTCTGAGCAATACCCAGGCCCCAAAATGGCTTTATTATTATTATTACTATCAGCATGGCTGCCACGTTTTCCCCACAAAAGTCAATCCACTTAACAATATATTCTGTGAAGCACTATAGATGTCTCTGTGATGTGATAATGCGCTTTGTCAAATGCAAGCATATTATCATCATCAACTTCAGTCAATTGTGTTGCTGAATTCAAACAGAATACCCAGTCATGAGGTTGATTATTGACTTCCGACCTTGTCTCATGAGAATATTCCACCAGCTTCAAATCCCGGCCAACATAAGACTGAGAGAACTTTACTGAGTTAAATTCCATTACTGAGAGAACTTTTGGAATGTCAAACAGTTTCAATGCATAGGTTTATTCTTTTGGTGTCTTGTATATTCAACTTCCAACACGTGCACAATCTTGCAAAATCCTCGTTGTACACTTGGGCTCCCCTGACTGTGCTGGAGAAGGTAATTGAGTCCCTCGTTGGGGGCGTACACTGCAATCCACAACAAATGGTTCCTTGCCTCAGCAAGGGATAAGGAAAAATGTCAACAGCCTACTTCAGGAGATAATGAATTTTAACATGGAGCATTGTTCCAGAGTTGCTATTTACAAATCCTTTTGCAAACTCTCAGACGCTTATCGCTGTGGTGGCTGAGACCACAATCCGGATATTGAGTCTACAGACTTCCAGAGAGAAATCCACAAGCTATGTGCAAGATTTACCCATTCATAAGAACATAAGAATTAGGAGCAGGAGTAGGCCATTCAGACCCTCGAGCCTGTGCCCCGCCATTCAATAAGATCCTGGCTGATCTTCAGACCCAACTCTAATTACCTGCCCTATCCCCATATCCCCTAATCCCTCTATTTTTAAAAAAAATCTATCAGTCCTTGAAGATGTTCAAGGACTGAGCATCTACAGCCTTCCGGGGTAGTGAATTCCATAAATTCACTACCCTCTGAGTGAAGAGATGTTTCCTCAACTCGGTTCTAAAAGGCTGACCCTAAATTTTAAGACTGTGAACCCTGGTTATAGATTCTCCTACCAGGGAAAACAGTCCCTCTGTGTCTATTTTATCAGCCCTTTAAGAATCTTATGTTTCCTAATTCTTCTGCACTCTAGAGAATACAGCCCCAGTTTATTCAGCCTATCCTCATAGGTCAGACCCCTCATCCGAGGAACTAACCGAGTGAATCTACGCTGCACGCCCTCTAGGACAAGTATGTCCTTTTTTAAAATGAGACCAAAACTGCACACAATACTCTAGTCCGGTCTCACCAAGGCCCTATACAGTTGCAGCAAGACTTTTCCCTACTCTTGTACTCTAAACTTTTTGCAATGAACACTCACGTACCGTTCGCCTTTTTAGTTGCTGCTGTACCCGCAAACTAACTTTTTGAAACTGGTATACAAGGACACCCAAATCCCCCTGAACACTGACACTATTTATCTCTCCCCCTCTAGAAAATAATCGGTTTTTCTATTTTTTCCTACCTAGGTGAATAAACCTTTTAGACTCTGATGTACAGTATTAGCAAAAGCAATTTGTGTCAGTTGCACCTAATTGTGTCAAGTTATATTTCAGCTGAAGTTCTCATGTGCTGGAGAAGATAATGGAGTTCCTAATTCCAGGTTGCCTCGATTCCCTCTCGTTCTACTACGAAATGTGTTGGAAGTTTCGGGAAAAACTCCTTCTAGAGAGGGTTGGTTGACCTGTCATCAGCAGCCTCCACAGCAACAAGGCAGGAGATCAGAATCCCAGCATACTCCAGCCATTCTATGATGTGTATTAATTCCCAACAATGCTACACTACATTACTAACTGGATCATCCCAAATTCAAATCTGGAGTTAAAATAATACTCCCTCCAAAACAATAATAAATTGGCTATTTTCAATCCACGACTGTTTGTGGGACGCTGCTGTGCGCAATTGGCTGCCGCGTTTTGCCCACAAATATACAGTCAATTCACTTTACAGTGTATTCTGTGAAGCGCTTTGAGATGTCGAGAAGACGTGAAAAGCACTATATCAAATGCAAGGATTATTATTATAAATATTACGGTTTTGTCCATTTACCCAATAAATGCAGTGGAACCCCTGTTATAAAACAGTAGTTAGGGGAATCATTGAATAGCAGCCGCATCTCCTGGCAGGTTTTTAAGGCTTTGAGAGTCCGCCACGTTGACAGGAGACACTGGCTCAAGTCCCGATGAATCAATCGTATTACAGGCCACATTTTGGTCTCTTTTTTTTGAAAAATCACGGAAAGAAAAATCATCAGGTGGTACTAAAATCCAACTTGTAACCCATTTTTATGGCCCTTGCTCTTAGAAATGTTCCAGGACTCGGAGCAATAATAAATTCCAGTGTATAGACCTGTCAGCCATACATGTCAAGTTGGAAATGTGAGTTGGAACAATACCAACCTTTGGAGTTGCATCACAGAAATGAAATACAACTTTCATGACCCAGTGAATCCTCAGATTGAGCGCAATTTAGAATTTAACACCTGCCCATATACTGGCTGCTTTAGTACAGAGAGTAGTTTTACATTCTGTATTATCAATTATATATTGTTTCCAGTTTTTTGTCCTTGTTAATTACACTTTTTAGGCTCAACATGTTCTCCGTCTTGCCCCGTCTTTAAATCACTTTTCTCTTCACTTCTTTCTACAGCTTGGGGTCAAACCATATTGCTGTTAAGCACTCAGAGATGCTATCCATGTGAAGGGTGCTAAATAAATACAAGTTGTTGTACGGTGGAGTACATGGATAATCCTTTACTGTGCTATCTTCCAAAAAAAAATCTGTATTTTTCTACACTTCTGCATTTCCTCTGGAAGCAGATTAGGTTTTGCAGACTAAATATCTGGGCTAACTATCTAGCCTGGCATCAGTTGCAGTTCACACCAAGAAGCCGACAATTCGCTTATGTCTCATATTGTATGGTTTGTACATGTCTCATTGCTCTATTTACTAAAAATGTAATCAGTTCTATGTCTATCAAAACACTTCAGAATACTTGAAGACCCAGTTCTCATTTCTTATCAGACAATCATAGAATCTTAAAGCACAAAAGGAGGCCATTCGGGTCATCAGGCTTTGTGTTGACTCTTTGAAAGAGCTACCAACCAGTCCGACTCCCCCGCTCTTACCCCTATAGTCCTGCAAAATTTCCCTTTTCAAGTACCTATCTGATTCGCTTTTGAAAGCTACGATAAAAATCTGCTTCCATCACCTTTTCTGGCAGTTTTTAACAATTCTCTGCATTTTTTAAAAAAAATCTCATCTCCCCTCTGGTTCTTTTGCCAATTAGCTTAAATCCGTTTCCTCTGATTTCTCAAACAGGTACAGCAGCTGTGCAGGTAGTAGACATCTCCCATCTAAACTACAGCATGCGTCTCCTGTAGAAAAAGATTAAACTCCTGCATGATTCACACAGGGTGCGTAAAAATATCTTGCTTAATGTACCACTATGATTCTGTGCTGGATAAGGATTAAGTTACTCAAAATACCAGTGTTGGTGTCTGTGCATGTAATGCTGCAGCAAGAATAGGCAAGTATAAATGAACAAAAACAATGTATATTTAGACTGAGTATATATTTGGGAGAATTGATATCTGTATCAAGACTGCAATCATGGATCTTCAATACATTTGTATTCTAATAAATTTGCTTCATAAAGTTATGCTTATTTGATTGTATGCAAAGCCACAGCACAGCCCTGATTCCCAAACCATCCGGCAAATGGCTTCAGGTCTGCGGTTCATTTCACGTTTCTGTATGTAAGTGAAAGAAATGTTTAACCTTTAAGCACATAACCTGGAGGTTGAAAGAGAAGAGCCAGCAGGAATCGACACGCCAGGATATTTACCTCGAACATATTTTCAAATATCATAATTTATCTCAAATGTGCCCCAGCTGCCATGTAAATGCTAAACACAATGCTTCCAGTGTGCTTATAATACTTTGTCAATAGTATTGTGTGAATCATATCAAATGTTGTGGTCCTGTGTCACAAGTTACGTGCATTTTACTGCATCTCTTCATAGCTTTAAGTAGTATCTCTTACCTTTCCATCAAATCTGGCTGTTCCACCCAAAGGCACGCAAGTATTCCTGGGAGGTAGTATGAATGCTGGCGCTTCAGGTGGCAGTGTGTTAGCTTGAGGCCTTTCCAAAGTCAGTGTGGTTTTGGAAATACGAGTTGTGGTGGAAGCAATCTGAACATCTCCCATGACTGGCTATCTAATCTGAAGGAGGGTGAGGGAAAGGAGAGAGAAAGCATTCAGTGAGCTTTGAAGTAGTTATCAAATTAGCAAACCAGATTTGTTGCGTTAATTGTGACTTCTAGTCAGAAATGAAGCTCAAACTCATTAACATAAGTGATTTTATACTGGAAGTTGTGTGGTGTACCTGCGAGAGGGAGTCATCCAGGGTTCTTAACTATGAGAAAGTATTTAACGCAGTAATCTGTGTATTCAGATGGTGACAAATGGCCAAGTTTTATACAGTCAATGGCCACATTTTGCTGATTGCTTTACAGATCTGAATCTTTAAGATCTGAATCCTTAAATGCATTATTGCTTTGTAATACAGCCTTGTATTAGATTACGTATACTGATTAGAGCACTCGCTTTGCAAATCAGAGACCTGGGTTCGATTCCCGGCAGGGTGAAACCTTGGGCAAGTTTCCTTACTCCACATGCCTGATAATAATCCCTCAGGAATAAAATAATAAATTGGTCATTTTCAATCCATGACTGTTTGTGGAGACGCTACTGTGCACAATTGGCTGCTGCATTTCACCCACAAATATATTTAGTCAATTCACTTTAGAGTCTATTCTGTGAAGTGCTTTGGGACATCTAGAAGAGAAGACACGATAAGGCGTTATATCAAATGCAAGGATTATTATCAAAAGCAACTCACTGAACTAAAACAAGCCAGGTTTATCTTTATCTCTTGGTGAACATTTGTTTCAAAGTATTTATCTTTTGAGATCGACATCTCGTTGTAAAGGTATGCACAAAATGCAGAACCTTTGAAATTACAGAGTTTCTGACTTTCTCATCAAATAAATGCAGTCAATGCATCAATTTGAGCTGAGAATTCAGATTTCCTGATTCCTTCATCCATCAAACCATTCAACATTATTCCTCAATAGACAGACAGTCCAACAACATCTCATATTCATGGCATTTTGTTGTGATGAATGAGTTTACAAAAAAGGGAAATGTTATATTGCTTCCTTCAGGGCATTTCACATTTATTTGGAAAGTAGGTCCATGTTGCAAAATATTATTGAGAGCCGGCCAAATAGAACCCAAGGCAGTACACTGAAAATCTCATTGATAAGGATCTGAATTATTTTTTCCATAATTACAGACATTCACCAGCCACTGATCAGAATTCGGGTTCAAATCTCAATTGTATTACATCTAGTTCCATTTTCCCTGATGAATTTTGCTGGCTGGGTAATCAAACATTCATTCCTGAACAGAAACTCGTAAGTCAAAAGCGAGCTCCCGACTGCATCCTAAATACATCTGATGAAAACAAATGATGGTCTAGCCAGTGTCAAAGCTATCAAATCAAATGAGGTCATTAATTATACAAAGTACACAGAATGGAGTCTGGCTATTTCCCCACAGAATGCTTGAAATGTTGAAATTCTGAGCACTGTTATATCGAGCTGAGTGATGGCAGATTCACATAAAAGCCAAACTTCAGAAGAGGACTGAAAGCTGGAGAAGATCTGAACCCAAGGAAGCAGTCAGATCTAAGCTTGGAATGAAGCTCATATGATCAATAGTCGCATGTAAATAAACAACTCTGGTGCAAAGGAGAAACAAAACAAATGTGTTGAAGTCGTTAAAGTAAATTTAGGCACCAGATGACAAGCTCTCCATTGAAGTCTTTGATTTACACTCCAGTGTGAGCTGGAGGGACTGAGTATTTGTGGGCAAATACAGCAGCCAATTGTGGGCACAGCAATGTCCCACAAACAGCCATGAAGGGAATGATCTAATTTATTGACCGGGACCAGAACACCAGGAGAAATTCACTTCCACTTTTTGAAGAGTGCATGGGATCAGTGGCTGAACAGGCAGATTTCTTCAATTATTTTTAACCCGTTTTTCATTTACAGTACCATTTTCAGAAGCAATGCAAAATAATTATCCCTATCAATTCACCTAAATCCCATGTTCAGTGATATTTTTGTACCACCTTCTACTCTGGAATTAGTTTGACAGATCCGAGACACTACCCTGCGTGAAGGGCACTGTATAAATGCAAGTTATTGTATGTTAAACTGGAATCCCACTTCTTGTTCAGAGTCTATGCAATAGTTCGCGTGTTAGCAATGACCATATCAGGTTTGCCTGGTCAGTAGTAAAGGAGGTTTACCTTTACTTCAATAGCTTGAGGTGTTCTCAGTTCATCCCAGGATTAAGATTTCTCAGAAGTTGAAAAATAAAAACTGATTGACAAACAATTGGGAGTTCTAGATTGGGCAAAATATCTTCAAATTGACACTGGGTAAGGTTAGGCAAGTTGCCACTTGCTTCCTTCCTATGCCTTTTTAAGCATCACTTGCCAATGATTTCTAAAAGAGTTACAAGAAAATAATTGTAAGCAGAAAGAATTCATGTAATCTGTAACCCCCTCTTTAGGAATACATTGTATCCCTAATGGAACATAAAAACAATGATATTTCTCCAATTGCAAATCATTCGATCATACAGTATAGCGGTCTCTCAGAGAGAGATCGCTATTTAGTCCCACATAGTGTCAAATTAGAAGTAATCTGCTTCTCTGCTTTCATCCCACGAGAGGAAACAAAAAGAAGCACAAAATACATCTGAAAGAAGAGACGTTCATCCTATTAACATGGACTGTATTCAGATCTCAGCTGCCAAAAAAGAAAAGGACAGAATGCTAAGCCATGTACTACAGTACCTCAATAAATGATTATTTATGTATCATGGCCAATGCCGTTTACAATCAATGCATCCAAGCTCATTCTTCCCTGCCAATGCTTTCACACTATCCTTTGCACGCTGCTTTGGGCTCGCAGTTTTAAACATTCTCTGCTTTGTTTGTTGGGAGCCAAGCCTGGGGTGATGGAGACTCTGTACCACAAAGATTAGTTTCTCTGAAACAGCTTCCAGAAAAGGGTAGCAAGGAGTCAGTGAACTGTTCAGCCGTTATATGAGGTCATCCATATTTTTTCCATCAGAATGTCAACTGGGCTCCAACAGCTTCAGTTCCAGAACATGTCAGAACTTCTCCTTTTTTGGGCAAACACAATCAGAAATATTTCCAGTCGTTGTGAACTTTTTTTTTGAGAGAGAGAGAGCTTTTCTGCAGCAATGATGAAAGCTGAAAGCTATTCAACCCTGGAATAATTTTCAGCAGAAATGATCTTTCAGTCATGTTATCACACAATCTTTTTCACTTTCTCCCAGTGCCTGTTATTAACTTTACTCAAATCCCCAGTTAGTTTCCTAATCGATCAACTTCAAGGGCTTCAGCCCATAAACACCTTCATGTTCCCGCACTTCCCTTCCATTGTGATCTTCTCTTCCCTCTCTCCTTTCCCCTTCCACTTACTAATTTGGTCCTACTATGTGATGGCTGACCACTCTGCACCACTATCTCCCTTCCTCTACATTTCCTCTACTCTAAATGCTTTTAAATCCAGTCTAATTGCTCAGCTCTTTGACTGTGCCTGTGGCTAGCTCCACTTTCCCTGCTGTTTGGTATCCAACACTGTCTTTGTGAAGTACTCGGAGATCTTATTGTAAGTGAAGTGCTATATTAATGAAAGGTTTTTTTTATTGCAGGTAAGTGAACAGAAGTGGGTTTAAGGTACTGTTTTGCTGCATTGAGCCATCTGGATACTGGTGCTAAAACATGCAAGTGCGTGTATATTTGGGGGCCGGGGAGGTGGGGGGGGGAGAAAATAACTCTTCCTAGCATTTCTTGCTCCATACAGGTTAGAATAAGGACACAGGACAAATTAGCATCACTCTTACCAAACTATAGTGCAGAATTCTCGTAATCCATGCAGAATCTGTTCCAAAGATCAAATTCTGTTAGGAGATAATATCTCAGGATACAATATATAGCTTGGGACACGACATGCTTTATAAATAGGGGCATAGAGTACAAGAGTCAGGAGGTTATGATTAACCCACTGGTTAGGCCTCAGTTAGAATACTGCTGCAGTTCTGGGCACCGCACTACAGGAAGGATGTTAAGGCATTGGAAAGGTTGCAGAGGAGATTTACGAGGATGGTACCAGGAATGAGGGACCGTGATTATGAGGAGAGGCTGGAGAGGCCGGGATTATTTTCATTGGAGCAGAGAAGGTTACGAGGAGACCTAATAGAGATCTTCAAAATCATGAGGGGATTTGATAGGTTAGAAAGGGAAAAACTGTTTCCACTGGTGGGTATGTCGGTGACTCGAGGTCACAGATTTAAAATAGTGTCTAAAAGAAGCCGAGGGGAGGTGAGAAGAATTTTTTTCACGCAGTTGTTCGAATCTGGAATGCATTGCCTGAAAGGGCAGTCGAGGCCAATTCAATAACAACTTTTAAAAACGCGGTGGACGGGTATTTGAGGAGGACGGACTTGTAGGGTTATGGGGAAAGGGCTGGGGAGTGGGATTGACGTTACATTGCTCTTTTCAAAGAGCCGGCACAGACTCGATGGGCCAAATGGCCTTTTTTTGTGCTGTACGATTCTATGTCATGCGACTGCCAGGATGGTGGAAGGCAAACTGGATGGACCTTGATCTTCTTTCGCCTAGAAAATTCTTATGTTCTTAAGATGGTATCAGTAGGGTGCTATTCCATGTCCTGGAAACAAAGTCAAACCTCGTTCTGATCAATCTCTAATAATCTCATAAGACACTGCAGGAACACAAGGATCTACAAGCCATTCTGGAGGTAATGTTGAAGACGTCATCCCTTAATATACATCAGATGTTGATACACATTGAAATGGTTATTATAAATTAGACAGTCTTCTGCAGCTGGTTAGTCTATATATGGAAAGCTGATTACATCATCCATTTCTGCACAAATACAGTAGTGAACAGATCCATTAGATTGTCTTTGTTACTCACATTATGTTACAATGAGATGACATTTGAAATAGCACAAGGCAATTATGGGTTGGTTGCAAGTGCTAAATTGGGAACAGTTGATATCCAAGTCTGTTGCACCCTCCCTTTCCCCCTTCAAAGAGGAAGGTCTTGAGACAGGCTTTGATCAGGCCTTCAATTATTCTCTTGATACCAACCCCTAGCCTTCAGCTCCCCTCTCGACTCTCTTCCCCCTCCTCGCTCCCTCCCTTCCCTCCCCTCACCCTGACCATTTCCCCCCCTCCTCGCTCCCTCCCTTCCCTCCCCTCACCCTGACCATTTTCCCCCCTCCTCGCTCCCTCCCTTCCCTCCCCTCACCCTGACCATTTCCCCCCTGCTCGCTCCCTCCCTTCCCTCCCCTCACCCTGACCATTTCCCCCCTGCTCGGGTCCTGACCCAACTGTGCAGCGCCTTGGGATGTCCTCCTGACGTGAAAGGCGCTTTATAAATGGAATCTTGTTGTTGCAGCTCAGGTGAAAACCCTCAACAGTCCAGTGTCATGGGATGTTCTCTCCTCGCTCCTAGTCATTAGCAGGAGCCCGAGGAAAAAGTCACCCCACTCATTAATCTTAATCAGGGATATTTAAAAATTAACTTCAGAGAGATTTACAATAGAAAACTTGCAGAAATGTTAGAATCGTAAAGATTTTCTTTTTATGGTCTCATCCAATTTACTCACCCTGCATTTGTCATCAATTCACACTCGTCAAATGTAGACAATGAAAATTACCCTCAATCAGCAATTAGCTTGGTATTCCCTTGAAACATATCTGGGCGTTAGCTCTAATCATTCAAGCTTAATGAGCAATAATTGTAAGTGCGACATGATATACTCCAGCACATAAGAACTCAATAATAATTAGCAAAATAGCTGTACAGCTTTATTTAAGCTATGATCTATGTTCTAAACAAGTCTGGTTCTCAGAGATCAAAGTTCAAGGGTCAGCAGTGATAGAACTTACTCCGCAATGTTTGCACGTCATTGTTAAGATAATAATAATAGCATTTGATATAGCGCTTTTCATGTCTTCTAGATGTCTCACAAGCGCTTCACAGAATAGACTGTAAAGTGAATTGACCGTATATTTGTGGGTGAAACACTGCAGCCAATTGTGCACAGCAATGTCCCACAAACAGTCGTGGATTGAAAATGACCAATTTATTATTGTTTTGGAGGGATTATTATTAGGCGTGTGTAGTAAGGAAACTTGCCCAAGGTTTCGCCCTGCCTGGAATTGAACCCAGGTCTCTGGTTTGCAAAGCAAGTGCTCTAACCACTGAGCTACAGGACTCCATGAGATTACAGTTTGACACACACCCTAATTGGCTGTTGGGAAAGTCCACAAGGGCCCTGTGCAGCTTATCTGCTGTACACAGATCTGATTAGAGAGACCAACACCATCAATATATAGGTGGCTCCCAGCCATAGTACATTAACAGCATAGTAAACAAATCCCATTCGTGTGTTACACTAATCCAGGCACACTTGCGTCATTTCATAAAACTAGGCATTTTATAACCTTTTATCACCGCATAGAAGTTTAGAATGTAGTTCTACGATTTCATTCACTCCCTGAAATATGATTTTTTGACAGTGCAAGTTGGTCATTCAAACCTTACATCTCACACCTCTTAAAGTCAACCTTGATTGACTTAGAAGTGGGACAATGTTTACAAAGCAACGCTGACAGAATCATTTTAGAAACAGATTCATTGGCAACAGCGCTTACAAAATAAATACGTGACTTAAGGAAGGATGGAGACTGTGGAAGTTGTGTGCCCCCGAGTCAATTGGAGAATTGTCTTTCACGTTCTGTATAAAATGATTGAATATGGTGACCCCAACAAGACTAATTACATTACACTGGACCAGCCTGGTCAAATAAATACCTAATAAATAGGCTTGGTTGGACAGCATTCTAATAAGACCACTCTACTCTAAGGATTGTGCCAAGACTCATATTTGATGTACAATTACAAATTATGTAGTGAAAAATATGAAGCTTTAATGCAGTCCAACTAAGCCTCCAGCTAGTACAGAGGTTAGCAGCAGTTTCTACTTTTATGTGGCTCTTTTATTACAGGTATTGTATTGAGTTACAGTAACAGTAGCTGTTATAGACCTAAAATGTACAATATTCAGTCATAGCATCTGGATGCTTCTCATTGCAGCCAATTTCTCTCAAGTGAAGTTTGCTTGTGCTCACATTCACTATTAATATCACGGGGACAAAAGAAAAAAAGTGAAACTATTAACTGAATGATCAATGTTGGTCTTTTCCTCAATCTTAGATTAACAATAAATTACATTTGTATAACGCCTTTCATGTCGAGAGGACATCGCAAGGCGCTGATCAGCCTACGAATGCGATATATCTGATTCCCTGGAGCCATGGTTCAATTCTGAGTAGATTTGTTTGAGATGACCATCTCCTGAGCACCTCTCCTCCAATCTTCAACATCAAAAAGGATTCATTTCAGTTATTACACATTAGTCTCTCAATGGGTCTTATATTCAACAGAGACTTCCATCTTTGATCACGTAAACAGATTCTCCGCTAAATCGCTTCTGAATCTGGGCACACCTTATGAACTTTAGCATACAGGGCTAATTCCATATGTGCAGCTGAATTGTTGTTGGCAATGTGTTTCACTAGCTGAATTCTTCCATTCAATATTTTGGTAACTCAAGTCATTTCATAACAAACTAATCTATCCAGTGAGACATTAGTTGCATTCCAAGTGCAGACGTACACAGTAATTATATCTCCAGCATAATTATTTTAATTATTAACTAATGTTTTCCCCCACAAAATGTCAATTCACTTTACAGTATATCTTGGATGAAGGATGCTGTGACATCAACGACATAAGGCGTTATATGAAATGCAAGGTTTATTATTATCTACATCTCCAATTTCTAGGGTTACTCCCTGGATGAGGAGTTGAGTCCCTGGCCAAATTTGCTGTGTCTTGATTCCAGCAACAAGCTGAACAAGTACAATAACATTCTAAAATAGATACTCAAGAGAAATACTGTAAAGCCATTAATCCAACAAGCTTCTCCAGTATTGCAAGCATTAGGAATTGTAGTGAGCGCAATTTGTTTTAATATACATTTCCCCAAATTTGGTTTACAAAATATGGTCACCTTAAATTAAACACAAGCATGTGATTCTCGGCAAGGACACAACTGGAGAGAGGGGAGGAAATTAACTTTGGTGCCTGGCAGCAGTAAATCGGCGTGCAGGATCGAGTGCATACAACTGGAGCAAAATCTGCTACTCTCCTACAGACTTCAGGTGTGAACCGACGTGAGAATCTGGTGGAGATAAAGCATATAACATGCTTTCAAAAAATTATAGAAGATCTATTTCCATATACGTGGAACCCCTGTTCTATTTGCTTGCACTCGCACTCTATAGTAGGATAGAGTAATTCTATTATGCTTGCCACACATAGGAGAGCAAACAAGAATCTGGGTGTACAGCTAAGGGGATTAGGATTCCAAGATGTTTTTTCTTCCCCTCGCCAATTGTTACTCCTCTACTAACAGTGCAGTGACTATTTTTCCCTTCTGTTGGGGTATTGATACACAGTAGTTCTGACAATGAGCTCTTTGACAATCCAACTCTTGGCCCAGTGTTCACACTTGTGCATCTTCTCACAGGGTTTTTGGTCAGCAATCAGCAGAACCTCAGCTAATTTTCTCCTCCCAAACCTAGACAGACTGAGATCAATTATCATGACCCAAGGCTGTGCAAAGTAGCCTCAGAAAGAGTGATCGGCATATAAAGGAGCTTACCTGAAGTAGGCTTCAGCTGTGCTTTAGTCGGTTTTGTTATTTGCAGCGTGGAGTCACAACAGGTTGAAGTTACTGGAGATTGTCTGCTTTTGTACAAGGCACGTCGGAACAAATTGCAGCAAAAGAAAGACAGGTCCTGTCGCCAATTTCTGGAGAGTGGCAGGTGGGCAATGTAGTTTCTGTATGTAGAGAAAAATGCCTTGGTCATATTTCACTGGGAAATTCAACACTAATTTCTTGACATAGGTACACACACCTCATCCACACCACACACACTTGTCAACAAAAATACTTGTGGAACAAAGCGGCATCATGCCGATTGATAATCTGATTTCCTTTCTATGAAAAAGTAATTGAGAAAAAAAATCACAGGAAACACATAGTTTATAATAGTCTTCAGTAATCTTCTCAGCTGTTAATTCGAAGCTTTCTTGTCCTGTGAGCAACAGTAAAAAGTGAAGTTATGTTCAAGGTGGGGGGGGGCAGGTGATTTATTTTTATGATCAGTGACTGAAACCTTTGCTGCAAAATCGTACATCCAGGAGAAAAAAAATTTCACACACCATTATTCTTTCTTTGAACTGTTGAAAGTTGAACAGTTTTTAGAATATTATTATGTAGTGCATCATACCCTCAATGTGGGCTCATAAACCGTCAGGAAATTTGTGCATGAATTTATAATCTAGGCCGACATCCACAACACCATTGGCGGGCAAGCTCTAGGGCGCTACCTGATGTAAACAGCGCTACATAAACAAGTTTTGGCTGCTTTTTCCTTGTGGGGCAAGTTTCCTTACTCCACACACCTCTGGTTACCTAGTAGTAAGTAGGAACCCGGTTGTTAGTCGATTGGCGGATCACTTTTCCAGGGGCAATAATTCCTTCAAAAATATATAATAACTTGGTCAATTAATCCCTCAAGAAAAAGAAATAAAATTGGCCACGACTGTTTGTGGGACTCTGCTGTGCACAATTGGCTGCTGCGTTTCACCCACAAAATATACAGTCAATTCACTTTACAGTATATTCTGTGAAGCTCTTTGAGACGTCTAGAAGACGTGATAAGATGCTATGTCAAATGCAAGGATTATTATTACTATCCACAGATAAGTGCTGAAGTAAAAAAAATCATCTGAATTTGGACTCGAGATTGTGGAAAACCAATTAATTACTTTTTGCAATCTTAAAATTATCAGGAGCAATAAAGGTACGTAGCAATGGATTAACCTTATTCAGCTAAATATCAATCACAATTAATACAACATAAGTACTTAAAGATAAAATGATTATGGTGGCCCATAGGGCTAGCAGTTCATTGATTTACAAGTGAATTGAGAGCACTTTGAGAAACATGCTGGTATTTGTACTGCAGGAGATCCAAATTAAGCTCACTGCTCTCTGGGAGAAAACTTTAGAAGTTTTCAACATAGCTGTTCAATCAATGTAACTGGCTGAGCTAAATAAATCACTTCACTAGTCATCTGCAATGGGGTAGTGTCATAGGTTAGTTCTTTCTGAATTGTTGCATTATCTATAGAATCTGACTGTTCGAGAGTCAAGCTATGCTTCATTGAAATGCATCTCAATTTGCTTTTCAGATGTTGCGTCTGATCTATTGACTGGAAAGACAAATGCGGTAGAAAAACAATGGGGTATTGAGGGAAAGGAAACCCCGAAACATGCATTTTCTTTGAAACAGACCAGTTCTGGTTACGTGAAACAGGAATACTGAGATCTGAGAGTGTACCAGTCTGAACACCATTCGTCAATCTCATCTTTCTCCAGGGTGATTGTCAATCAAATCATAAAAGCTAATCTGGTCACTAGAAGCGGAAGAATGTTTCTTTTTAAGTGATATAAAGAAGTGGGAATTAATTCACTGCTTTCCCTTTTAACGCGCAAGATAAAAGATCTCTATGGAGATGTTTTCAGTACTTTGCACCTTATTCGTGGGTTTCAATTATTTGGGTTTCTTTTCAAAAAAAAATAAAACAGTCTGAGGAGCAATACTTCTTTTGAAAGAAGTAGTTTGTTTGATGTCGCTTAGGCTGCAGGAACATGCGTTGAAGATGCTCTCAATCGGCTCAGTTTGAAACTAATTCAGCTACGTTTTGTCCACATGAATCGATTTCTCCTCTTTGTGTGCAGATACTCTTCACGGATCAAGCTTACAACTTCTGCACCAGGATAATCACTGCAGTGGAAACAGAGGTGGTGCAGAGCTGACTGGGGTTTTTTTTTAAAAAAAAGATCCCATTGCTTTGCAATCCTCTCAGCCTTTTGCGAACAAAGAAATAACCAATATAATGCAATTCATGCCTTTCAGTGCAAAGCCAGCTATCCGGTTTCAAATAGCAATCAATTAGAATCAAAGAACCTGAAGCAAATGAGTGAGTGACTCAGAGCAACATGAACAGACACTTGAAGCTTGGGAACAGGAGAAAGCTAGAGATGGAAGAAAAGAAAATCTATCAAAGAACATGAAGAAAGATGATGGATTTAATATCATGAAATATTTGATTACATTTTTAAATGTAAATTCCAGGAGTCCTGTTCTAAAATCGGCCACTGGAACTTTCCAACGGCAATCGACTGAAGGCCTAATTCTTATCCTTCTGAACAGTTATTGATTTTTAATTTCTTAATCTTAATTTCTTGGGCTAATGCTTTTAATAGTAATGATCCTTGCATTTGATATTGCGCCTTTTGGGCAGGGAAAGCAATTCACAGCATTTACTGTAATGTGTGGTGATTATGTATCCCATAGGCCTTTAAGCCTTGTAACCAGACCTTGATCAAGTCTAAACCTTTGAAAACGCAAACAAAAACATCATTTTTTATATTTGTTATATATATTTTTTTATTTATATATATATATAAAAAAATAAATGTAAAAAACTTTGCCTTCAGTCAGCCTCCCTCCTAATCTTCCACCCGGCTCAGCTCTCACCCCATTTCTGAAAATGCTTCAAATATTTTCTTACATGAAAGTGCAACTTGTCATCACAGGTTCATGCCTTATTTTATCTAAGGGCTCTTCCAGTCGACCCATTTTTGCTGGGTTTAGTTGCTGCTTATGATGCTGTGTGAGACATGCTGCCTGACAGGGAATTAGTGATCTTTACACCCTGCGTGCATTACTTTCGAAAGTGCCCATTTTAGTTTCAAGCATGAGATTTGTTATTCTTCCCACAAGCAAACCTGGAGGTCTCCAAAATGGACCAGATGTTAACTAGGTGACCACCAATGCCACATGTGCGCCTGGGGCTTTATTGTGCTCATGTCAGAGGTAGCGATCCTGCTATTGCTGGACACCTATAGCAAATTCAACATTAGTTCTGATGAAAGGTCAGAGCAAAACATTAACATGCTGTTCAGATGCTAACGCCCTACAGTACGTTTCCACAATTGTTTGCATCTCATTGCAGATTTCCAACATCTGAAGTTTTCCCTGTATCTCTGCTGTAGCTACTGTTGTTTAGGGCAGAAATTTCACATGCTTTGGAAAGCAGATGTGACAGTTTAAACAAAGCGTTCCTGCCTTCACTCTGTGAGTAATTGCTTGTGCCACACTGCAGATTCTACAGCTGATACCCATTTACCATCATCACAACAATTTGTTGCTGCACAAAAGAAAATGTTTGCAAGCAGTACATTCTAGTCACTCACTGACAGACTGAAGCTGCAGTGTTTCAAATCAATAAAACAATACATTTGGATCAGATCAAAAAGACTTCACTACTGTCCTGTTATTGGAACACAAGTGACATATGCCATTGACTGAGTGTCCAGTGTAGTAATCCTGAGGTGAGGTATTCTCAATAAACAATTCAGGTCAATGACTCCAGGAGTTTCCACTCAACAACAGTAGTAAACACATGGCCAATATGTTAGCAACTTTTGGATCACTATTCTTCAAACCAAGTGAATTTTCTATACCCTAATCAGCGGCGTGACTTCAAAGATATCACATTGTTGATTTCAGAGATAATCACATCAGGAATGTAATCTCATAAGAGAAGTGGAATTCCAACTGAACACGTGTCAGTTTATGTTATGTTCAACAAAAAATTGCAAAATTGTAAGTTATTTGGCTAAAAGGAGCAATAAGATCAAACCCCAGCAAATGTGGGGTTTTGTGCTAAGTTTCACATTCATCCTAAACCACACAAGGTCCAAAATATGGAAAATGTAGGGATTAGGCAGCTGGAGGCAGAACAATGGAACAAAAATAAATGTCTGGAACAAAACCGAAAGAGGTATCAGACCAAACAATAAGCTATAAAACAAGAAAGGCGTGAGATATGCAGAAAGAGAGAAAAAGCACAGGGTATAAATTACGAATGTAAATAACGAGAACAGAAGAGAAACAGTCCATATCCCACCCCCCACCTCATGCAGGCAACCCCCCCCCCCACACACACACACACCCCATGATGTAATTACGATTGACATCATGCAGTGTATAGATTTCAGTGACCTGTTGTTACATTTCTAAGGGGGGGGGAAACTTGATAGAGGTTCTGTTAACTGATCTGTATATAGAATAAAAAGTTACAAATATATATATATCTCTAAATAAGAGGAAACTTTTAGGTCATTATCATGGCTGGTGTTGAGCGGTTGGAATGTGGAGTTGGCAGAGCACTTAAACCCACACATAGTGGCGAGAGATTGTAACTACTGTAAATGACAGAGTAGACATGCTTGAGAATATTTCTTTTAACATGTTATTTGCTCCAGTTTTTGGTTTACGACCCACGAGAATTGAGGAAGCGCTTTCAGCAGTGAAGGTGCCTCTCATTTGTAGAGAAACAATAATTGACACCAATTTTTTTTTAAAAAAATTTGACTTTCTATTATGGGGCGTAATGAGAACAAGGTGCTGAATCACATCAGAATAATCTCAAACTTATTCGATCCAATGGCAAACCAGAATAAGGACATTTCTAATTATTTATTAAAAGTGGCGAATTTATTCTGAATAAAACCAAGCGGTGAACCTGAAGTAAGGGTCTTTAGGAACTTTCAGATGTTGCTGCCAACCTCAGTGGATCAAAGCC